ACTTCTAATATATTATATATATATATATATATATATATAAATAAATGAATTTTTATATACATTTCAACATCTTTGCTATTTCTTGAGGTTGGAATCCTTATTAGACCCTTCTAACTATGCAATATTCAATGTGGCTTTTCATTAAGCAATGATACTGCGAATGCTCTCGTGGATAATATTCTTGGAAATATATTAATTGCATTTTTGAATTTGATGCTTGTCAACGTCCCCTTTTATGATAGACACTTTTGTGTACCCAATATTTGTAAATAGAATAATGCAATATAATAATATAACATAATAATTCTTTATAAACCAGATTAGCTCAATCTTTTGAATGAGCCACACTTGAAAACAGGTTAGAGATTAATTACATTTATGACACTTGAAACTATGCTGTTTTTCCCATCAAATGAATATTACCGCTTATTTGGTTTATTTTATCCTAATTACGGAATGAATTATCTGAGTGCGGTAGCTAGGATTAATTAATTTCACCCATTTAATGATCAACTAATGGAAAACCAAGGCATTCTTTCACAATTTCCTTATGATTCTTAAAATTTCAATTTCGACTTTCCCATTTGTTAGCAATGCCCTAGAAAGAATATACTCCAGTAATATTAATAATTCAATGCAAATACCAAACCTGTCTATCAAATTACTCGAATAGTCTACATCAGAGCCACTACAGCTAGTTAAAACTGGCTCACCTCTCCATTAAGCAACCTCTTAGTGGCCTCGTTGTACATCAAAATCTTTCTTAAAATGTCCCACTCAACCTATGCCTTATTGGAGTCACCTTCCTCTTTTCTCTAATAATGGCTGCCTAGCCTACATTTTTTCCCATGTGAATTTGAGGAAATTGTTTGTGGCAGGAAGTGATAATCTCTCAAACCTACCTTTGTTAAGATAATATAAAATTCTAGACGTATTTGACATAAAACAGAGATATATTTCTATATATAACATATCTTTGATCATACAAAATTCCGCATGAATTGAAAGGAAGGAAAAATAAGTAAATCGACGCAAACTAAGAGATGAGAAAATTTATAAAAGATGCAATAATTCAGTTTTCACAATTTTGTATTAACCTAAATATTCACTACTGAATAAACTCTATTTTCCGCTATATTGTACACTTCCTTTTAACACAAAAGCCTAGAAGCAGAAGACTCTTATTCAGCCCCATCGAATCGAATGAATGTGGCTTGCAGATGACGGCCCCCGAGGCTTGTACCTTTGATCTAGGAAGCCCAACTAAAAGCCAACCTGAGTCACCCGCACCAACTTCAAGTCCTTCATTCGAATTCTCTAATAACATGACTGGCACGTCTGAATCCTTCCCTCCTCCAGTGTCTCATGTTGTCAGCCTACCTCACTTCCCGTCTGCCGAAAGTAGATATTCCAACTCCTCAACTGCGCCCCCTTCAGACTCGAATAAATCAATGACTACTTTAGTAGTATCCTCTGACAACAAAATGTCTGATTATCAACCGGCAGACCAGATGAGACCTGGCCCGAGGATAGAATATGATTCGGAGACAAGGGATAAACAATTGAACATGTTGACCTCTAACAATGCTGCTACGGAAGCGGAGCTAACTAAAGATCAAGCCATCTGCCATCCGTATCCTTCGGCAGAAGCATTAGCTGCCACAGCAATGGCTGCTTGCTCTATCGAGCGCATGGCCTGGAAGTCTGTTCTGTAAGTCTTGAGCACATGAATCTGAAATTATGATTTACCCAAAATTGTCTTGTGTTACTTGATTAAACAGAAATTATTTATTTTTCGAATTATTTATTGTTTTCGTGACTACCGGTAAATAAGTAATACAAGTCGTATTCACCCAATTTCGTTTAAAGTGATGGAGGACTGGTAGAAGAAA